ATGTATTTGCCGGACAGAGAGACCGCCCGTGTCAGGTTTCGGTGGACGATCAGGAAATTACGGTGCCTCGGGGGCCCCCGTGCTCGAGCGTCTCGTTTTTTCGTCGGTGCACTTAACCGCGTGCAAAACCCAATCACGATCGATCCGAACGAACGATTCGGACGGATCACCATGATACCGAGGAACGGATAGCCGGTTCTGCGATTATTAGGGTCGAGAGATGTATATGAACAAAAGGAATCGAGAGCGAGATCCGATGTGGCCGGCGCGCAATAAGATAATGACTAATGAATATGTTTGTCGAGGTCGTCGGATCCGGAAGTTAAAAAAGCGTATCGACGATAATTCGACGTCTGGAAATCTCCCGTTTAAATTTGAACCTGATCAATTTAATTTGATTGAACTTCAATTGATAAAATCATTTAACATTGTTTCAAATTTATGATTGCATTTTTTGTTCTTACTGAGAGTTATGCGTATTTTGCGAAGACTTGTAAAATCTGTATTTAATCTGTAACTCATATTTTCCTTCATCTGTGCGTCTCACGAAATATAAAATTGTACGCTTGTAAACCGTACAATATTTATGTAACTTGGCCGCAACACATTCGCAGCAAGTCGTGCCACCTTATATTATCATCAACATTCGCAAAATACGATGAAATAGTATGGTAGCGACATCTAGTTGTCATATCTGAATTACTATGTTAAATTTAAATGATACACTTATCTTGACGATTCACGCTTTTTAAAGCTTTATTTCTATTGAGCCTTCCTATATGTAATGCCGAATAAGAATAGTAAAAATTACAATCATAACAAATAAGAATTGATGTATGTCGTATCGCGATTAAACATTCATTCCTGATAATGAATGAATCAATGAATGTTAAAAGTCAGCGCTGACATACAAACTTAACAATTTTCGACGTAATACTTTGATAATGATTGCAGTAAAATTCTACACAATAAAATTCAGTAACAAATTATAATAAAATTAAAATGTTTGAAAGAAATATAAGCTATTGTAATTCTGTTGGAAAATCTGTCATAGATAAAAAAATTTCTTAGGATTTTATCTATTCAAGTTTTGGGTTCAAATGAATGATTAGATCTTTAGTTTTCTACTGTAAAGCCAAGAACAAATTAGATTTACTGAATATTCGTAATATTACGTAGCAATAGACTTGTTCTTTATCGCTGAACTATACTAAGGTTTCTTACTTTCACTAATATAACAAACATATCTATTTTATTTTCAAGTACAACAAATGTGCATTAATTCAGCAATAAATAAACAGATCCAGCGCATCAAACAGATTCATTGATATCACAATCTCATACATAATGCACAATCTATTCATTCATAGTGACATGGGATCTATACTATATACAAATATCTATGAGTCAGAATTATTTATGCGGCGGCCATGTCCACTGGTTGGCCGGTGCTTCCTGTATTAATTTCTCCCATGGTTTCCAAATCGCCATCTTCTCTGCCAGCGAGAGTTCATTCCTCGCTTGTATTATAAGCTCCTCTACTTGTCCACAACCAATCTTGTCCTCTACACTTTGCACATCTGCATTCTACAAAATAATTCTTAATCAGAAACGATCTAATATTATTATATATATTAAACATAGACTAAATAGATTATATACTAAGATAATTGTCACTTTAAATGAGTACTTCTCACCAATTTCATAATTGTCATTCTATCCTTGACAAGCTTTTCCGTTTCTTTCCGGTAAGTATAATCCTTTGGTAACTTTTCTAACACTCTCAAAATCCTCTTATATAGTGGAACTAATTCCAAGTGAGGATTCTTACAAACAGCTAATCCTGTCAAATTTGTAGACTACAAGCAAAAGGTAATCATGTTAATGAAACCAATCTTGGACAAGTATCAATATCATAATTCATCAAATATAGTGATAATATATGTTGTAATAGTTGATATTCTAATTAAGTCTACATGCATGCGTAAGATGAATTACCTTTTTGAGTGCACCTGCCATGATCAGAATGATATTATCTAACACTCGATATATCAGAAAATCTCTCTCCCTTCACTCCATCAGTTTTCTTAACCTCAAAATTTGTATGCACTCTCCCAGTCGAAAGATTGCGATTCTTTCGATAGGTTTTGGAACACATCAATATTAAATTTCAAATCCGTAAAAATAATTAGTTAATTAAGTTAGAAATTAATAAATTTAAAAAGTTAATAACTTTAATTTAACTTTAACTTAATAAATTTCAAATAAATTAATTTTTAATTTTAACTAGTCATTTATTAAATATATAATTTCCTAACTTTTGTTTTCCATTTGTTTTTCCAAATTCTGTAATTGTATTTATTTCAAATAATCAAATGTTAAAAAAATAAGAGTATAATACTTTTTACAATTAATTTAAATTAACTCAATTGTCTTTGTGTTAAAATCCGGGCCCAACTTTGGCTATAACACCATGCCATATTACAACAACTTGAATAGATCTTTTCACTTCTAAGAAAAATTGTAGGGAAACTTGAATCACAATGCATTTTGAGAGAATGGATACAAAGTGAACAAATATACAGAACAATTTAAAGATAGAACGTTTATTTATCTCTTCAGTAGAAAGTTATGTTTATCGATTAGACTTGGCAACACGCTCCAATTCATCCTTCTTCTTGATCGCGTACGAATTCGACGAACCTTTAGCGGCATTAATAAGTTCGTCAGCTAAACACTCGCCGATCGTTTTGATGTTACGGAATGCGGCTTCTCGTGCGCCAGTACATAATAACCAGATGGCTTGATTAACACGACGTAACGGAGATACATCCACAGCTTGTCGCCTTACCGTACCAGCGCGTCCAATACGCGTGGAGTCTTCTCTTGGCCCAGAATTGATGATAGCTGTGACAAGAACCTGAAACACAAATATATGAATAAATGGAATAGTATTCAATTATGTTGTACATATTAATTAAATATGGCTTGTATAAAACACCTACAATGATACATATTATAAAAAAATGAATTTATACATTTTCAAATTAAATTCTTGAATTATTTCAATATATAATTATTTGTGAGAATATGCCATGATTAAATGTAAGATCAATGATTAAATCAAATAGATTAAATAATGTAAACTCACCTGCAGAGGATTCTCACCAGTGAGAAGGTGAATAATTTCAAAGGCATGTTTAACAATTCGCACGGCCATCAACTTCTTTCCATTATTTCTGCCATGCATCATCAGAGAATTTGTAAGACGTTCCACAATGGGACACTGAGCTTTTCTAAAGCGCTTTGCAGCGTAGCGTCCTGCTGAATGTGGAAGATACTTGGCATTTTTCTCTTTGACAGCGATGTAATCCTGCAGAGACATATCGTTCACTTGTACATCATCGCAGTTCCAACGTCCGAACAATTTGATCTCTGGCAATTCAGCCGGCATGGCCACTGGTAATGTATTTGTGGTTGCTACCACCATATCCTCAAACGCTTCTTTATCATCCATTGTTTATATTTGTCTAAAAAGAAAACAATTTTTCTTAATGAAATATACATTATTTTTTGTTAATATAATAGATTATCTACAATCCAAATAAACACAATTTGAACGTCAAACTTTAATTTTTAAAACCATAACATGATACTAATTAATTTCGTGTTATACTACGCCAAGCCAATGTTGTCAAAACTTATAAAAAAAAAATAATAAGGAAATTTTTAGCAAATTATAAAAATAAAATTGCAGATTAATAAAGTAATTTGCTCATATAACAATCAAGATATATTTATTTCCGGAGGCGACTACAATCGCTTTGTTTGGAGATATGCGGCAAAGTGTGAATAGCGGTTGAAAGATGGACGCTATGACACGGCACGGTGTTTTCGCCATGATCATGCCGATTGTAAGTGGAGCACTCTGACTCTCGTTAAATTTCTCAATGGATAAACAGTCCAACGGAAAACTGACAAAACACATGTGGCCACGCGGTCCACATGTACCTCTCTTTCCGGGCGTGCTTTCTCTCGCGCGAAATCGCGTACGCCTTTCCACACCTATACAATCACTCCAAAAAATCCTGATTATCTTCGATCGCTCGATAATTGCGTGTTACGCCGTTCTATCACGAAATTACCTCGACACAACGTCTATTTTTTATCCTATAACTTACGTTCACGTTCCCCTTCGTGTAACGCGTGAACCGGAAAAGGCCATAACACCGCGAGCGCCATCTACCGGACTGCTGGATTTCGAATACGTTAATCAAAGTTGCGGGATGACGGGGAAACACGCCGAAATTAGATGCTGCAAATATGTTCCAATGTTTACGTGAAATGTAAGTAAATATAAATAATTTTTGAGATGAATATTCGTAACACAACGAAATAGCTAGAATAGTTATAATTACTGATTTGACTGTTAAATGCAGGTGTATCCTTTGCAGGTGCACTTTTGCACCATGCTACACTTTGATCCTTTAAGTGAAATAGGTTATTAGAAAGAAAAAGAAAAAATAAAAAGTAAAAAGACGCACTTGAAAGAAATATATTTTGTCATTAATAAAATAAATCCAAAGGATAGATTATTAATCGGCAATTTCTTCAATGAATTGATCTGAGATATTAAATAATATGTTCAAATATAATTCATATTATAATATATTATTTATATCTTAATCATTAAAAATATAATAAAAATTGTATTTCTTTTCAAAAAATGTAAAAATTTTCTTCATCAATTAAAACAATTAATTAAAACAATTCAATGAAGGCCTGGAGTTCAAGGCTTCAAAGACTCTTCAATAGATGTCGCAAACAGTATGTTTTGCTGCAATACAACAATTTGCATCGCTTAGAATATTTTCTATAACCCTTCTTTATATTAATATTATTATATTAATATTCTTATTAATTGCGTGTTTAAAAATATTTGCATAAAAAGAAAATGTAATAAAATATTTTAAAGTTTTTTAAATCGACGTTTCAGCGACAAACGAAATAACAAATATTTTAATATTAATTATTATTTATACATATAAAAAATAAAAAAGTTTGGTAAGTTTATTACTCATATCTTATTTTTATATGTCGATAACGCGTTATTTATATCGCATTTTATGAGAAATCCGTCATTATAGTATATCAAATCGATTTAACACAATCATATAACGGATTTATCAAAGTATACTCGTATTTCGCGCGATCATATTGTTGGATATAATGTACCATATCGGTGTTGTAAATTACAATTTTGTCAAATAAGTTTCATTAGTATTGTTTGCATGATAAATTATATATAAATTAACGAAAATATTAATTGTGAAGAGTGTATGAGTGTAATATTTATACGTGTCATACTTGATAGTATTTATGTCTTTTGCATATAATAAAAATATTTATATATGTAATAATTACCAATATTTACATATATTTATATGTAATATGTAATATGCAGTAATTGATAATGTTTATATATAACAATTGATAATTATAATGATAATTTCCTTTATTATAATCATAATCACAGTTTGTAGTTGTTTTTGAAGATTAAAAGCACGAAATTATTTGAAATAATTATTAATATTCTGATTGTTACATTTAAAGGCTTGCATTAATTAAAATACACTGAATTAATTAAAATACAAATTGTAATTAATGATGATTGATGGTGATTGCGATTATTTTCTGTATTAACTGCGAATCATTGTTTGCAGTTAATTTTAAACCTTATAATTTCGAAATTGTTTTAGTTTTTGTTGTAATTATTATATAGAAAATATAGAAAATAATATGAATTAATTAAAATATATAATAATAATTAGCAGTGACTGCGATTGCGAGCTTGTAGATGATTTTGCAGCTTAAACATATAAAATTACTGTAATTATGATTGTAATTGATATACTTAAAAAGTTATAAAATATAATAAATTAATTTCAATATGCAGTAATAATTCAATGATCACAATTATTTTTTATATCGATCATAATTACTACTGGTTGTCTTTGTATATTAAAAATTTGAGATTCTATTTCTAGTTAATACTGTGATTATTATGTTTAGAAGATTACGTGCATGAATTAACTGAAATTTGCAGTAACAATTGATCACAATTATTTCTCTATATTAGCCACGATTATTGTTCGTAATTAATTAATACTTATCTCACAGTTTAAAAGCTTGAAATTGCAGTTGATGATATTGTAATTGTTATATTTTATAGATTATATACATACATGGAATTGAAATATATAATAATGAAATATATAATAATAATTAGCAGAAAGTATCATTATTATTTACGTAGCTATTGTTTTTGTTTTATATTTATATTATATTTGTTACTATTTTAGAGTTATAGTTTACATATTGAGAAAAGACAATATTTAAATCCACATTTTTTTCTAATTATTTCTGAGTAAGTTCTTTAATAGAAATTTAGTAAACATGTAAATAAGAAAAATATAGGAATAATTATAAAGAAACCAAGAAATATTTAAATTATTAAAACTTATTAGAAATTATTATTGAGTTAAACAATAAAATCAAAGCCCATTTTCATTTTCAACTTAATATATACCGTTTCAAAATCAAAATGGAAATAATTAAATAATTTCTAATCCTTATGTCATAAAACAGCTGACACAAATCGTAACAATTATATTAATGGCTGAATATAATTTAGAGTTTATGCAGTCCGAGTGCAATGGCCTATATAATCAGTGACTAAACCCAGATATTTGCTATATTATCTGCAAATTTTAATGCTTTGAAGCTTCTAAAACGCAGGCTATTTGAAAGCGATACGGGAAATTTAGGCCCTACCGAAGGGCCTAGCCGAAGGGATAACCGAAAAACAATATTTATTCGGTTGATTTATTAAATCGATTAAACCTTTAATAATCCGGGTAAACCTAAAGCCATCATATTGATGGTGGCACATATCCGAAACAATCATCGTGGTAATAATCTGTTATTTCGTAGCTTTGTCGGTGGTAAGGGTCCGTATAGAAAGCGGGTGCACAGAGGGTCACAGCGAGTGAATAGGGTTGAAATCGTGCTCGACGAGCGAGGCAGAAGGTAAGAGGGATGGAGGGAAAGGGGATGAGAGGTTGGAGGGCTCGAGAAGACGGCCGGGCGAGCAACCGTACGGTATGAGAAATTTACGACCCACCGTCCGGATTGCTAACCCATCTCGGGTTCCACTTTATTACTTTAAGTAAGATCCGACGTAGAGGCAGTAAAACTCATATATGACCGAATCGCCGACGACGAGCTTCGACGCGCTTAAATATTTAATGACACACGTTCGTCGATGCACGCCTCTGCATGCGCGTTCATTGGACCATCGTGAAAATCACTGTTAACATCTACATTATAATTCAATTTTTTTTATGTTAATTTCGCGATCGACTTTGTAGACTGTGTTTGTACATGACGAATAAATTCTGTCAGTGTCATTGTTCGAATATTCTTCGTTTTGAGGTCCGAAAATGACATAAATCACAGAAGTTACGAGAAGTTTATAGCCTACGTTGTACAGGAAATCTTTGAAACACAAGAACTTAAATTTTCTAACGGTCTCAGAAAATAACCGACGGCTCCAAGGGCTTTGAAAAAAAAATACAATAAAAATACAATAAAAATATGATTGGAAAAAGAACAAGTTACTTTTCTAAATATTCTGTGACTTTAAACAATTTTACGTATGAATTACCGCTTTTGAGTTACCTCTGATAAGCAGAATTACCGCATTATGATTTAAGAGAACGTGGCCAGGCTGCTCCGCGATAAATCTCATGGAAATAAATTCAGCGATGTAAATCGTTTCGTTATAAAACGCATTTGTCCGATCCCTAACTCCCATTTATAACGAGGGTCTTCTGTGTCCTCGCTAATTGGAAACTTGGCTTCTGTAGACGCTTCGCAACGACGACGACGACGACGACGACGACGACGACGACGACGACGACGATGACGACGACGACGACAAGCATCTTTCTATTCTCGAAAAAGCAGTCGCAATAAAAGAGCGCGCGGAACGTGAAAAAATTGCGATAGCTACCTTACTCGTTGACGCAGCGTTATGCTGCGAGCGTGGTCCATTCGCCCCCGTTCTCTCGCCCCATTGTCTTCTTCATTATGTAGGTATCCCGCGCGAATATAAACGCAATTAAGCGCGTCGCGTCATCGTTAAAGCCCCGTAATTGCATTCGCGTAAAAGCAATTACGACTTCACCGACGGCGATGAGTCGACCGCTCCTCTCTCGGTCTCCACTCCCTCTCTCTCTCTC